CACGGGTTTCAGGCAGCTTAAAAAAAGTATTTAAAAATACGTATGTAATTAAATTCTCCTGATGTAAAAATTTCAAGTAACACAGATAAAGTTTAAATCCCCTCCGTCACACTTCCTTCCCCAGAGGTGATTACTATTGTCAGTCTCACGGGATTGCTTCCATATCTTTTTCTTTGCGTGTGTATACATATGTATGTTTCTATACAAATCCATGGCTTTGCTTGACGTTCCTTTTTTTTTTTCCTTTTTAAAAAAAACAACATCAAGTGCTGGGTCTTGGAGCTCTTTGCATGTCAGCGCTCATAGATCTATTTCATCGATGTGCTACCAAATGTAGGCAGGTACCGTGGTTTGATCATCCTTTGCGTAGTTTCTTAAAAATGATTTTTCTGTTAGCTTAAGAGCAGTAAAAAAACCCAAAAAACTGTCATCTTTCTTTTTTTTAAAATTTTATTTATTTATGATAGTCACAGAGAGAGAGAGAGAGAGAGAGGCAGAGACACAGGCAGAGGGAGAAGCAGGCTCCATGCACCGGGAGACAGACGTGGGATTCGATCCCGTGTCTCCAGGATCGTGCCCTGGGCCAAAGGCAGGCGCCAAACCGCTGTGCCACCCAGGGATCCCAAAACTGTCATCTTTCTAAAATGCAGTATTGACCATGTGGCTTCAGCTACCCGAAACTTTCAGGGGGTCCCCATTGCGAAACTCTTGTGTTTCTGGTAGCGCTTTAGCCTATATCTTAGCCAGCCACTACAATCACCATTTCTTACCCTTTTTAAAAATTATTTATTTATTTATGTATTTATTTATTTATTTGAGACACACAGAAAGGCAGAGACACAAGCAGAGAGAGAAGCAGGCTCCACGCAGGGAGCCAGATGTGGGACGCGATCCCAGGACCCCAGGATCACACCCGGAGCTGAAGGCAGATGCTCAACCACTGAACCACCCAGGCGTCCCTATAATCACCATTTCTTAAACGTGGTACCCATTTACACTCCCTTGTATCTCTACTCAGCTTGCCAGCACCTGCCTTCTCTGACCGTTCCTACATTCATTCAATGCTCATTGTAGCCTAAATGAACACCAGGGCCACCCTTGGTCACTCTCCCAGCTGGAAATAAGTGTGTGTGTGTGTGTGTGCGTGCGTCCACAGCCTTTTGTACCTTTTTCACTCCTTCATTCAGCAAATATTCATCAAGTGTCTGCTCTATCGGTTTGCCTCTTTTCTTTCCTGTCTCCCTGACTTGGCTGCCAGTTCCCAGGGGGGTGAGATCATGTCTCATGCACAGGGGTTTCAGGGGAGAACAGATATCCTGGTTTGCCCTGTGTGGTTCCAGTTTCACCTGTTATCCAGGCGGAAATACTGGTAGTGCCTCCTTTCACTCCGGTTTAGATGAAAAAAAATCATGTGATCCACTTTAGTTTTATGCACGATAGATGCTTACAGTAACTGTTAATTGGAAAAAAGAAGGGATGGCAGATGAATGAATGTAATTTGCTTCTCACATTTGGAGATGCCATTTAACCCTGAGCTGCAGACTGGAGAGAACACGCTACATTGTGGAGAGGTCGTTTCACCCTGGGGTCTGTTGCCTGGGAGGGGTTTATAGGAATCCTGTAATTCCCAGATATCATGCTTGCAGGTAGTGGGGCATTCTTGTAAGATTCTAATGGGCCAAGCTAAGAAATGATGGGCACAAAGGAAACATCTATGAGTAAAAGAGCTGGTGACCCGCTGAACCTGGGGTAGGAAGCTGCTTCTCAGATGGGGTAGTCCAGAGCAGAGGTTTGGCAGGTGGGCTCTGGAGTCAGATCACTAGGGTGGGAATCCCGGTTCTGCTACTTCTTGCTGTGGAAACTTGAGCCAAGTCACTTCCTCCCGGAGCCTCGGTTTTCTCATCCACAAAGTGGGGTTGTCACCCCACAGCTCTGTGGGGGGACTCAGAGGAGATGAGGAAATGTAAAATACCATATGAAATCATCTCTATTTGAACACTTTAACCTTCAAAATGGCTTTTCACATAGTTCAAGCTGGCAGATGCCTGGAGCCTAGTAAGTGTGTAAGACATGGTGGCTGTTCGCATCTCACACCTGATTGGGCTGATCTTTCTGCTTCCGTGGCCTAGCTGAACAGACATTCCTGTCTTGCGTTGAAAATGTATTTGGGGCCCCTGGGTGGCTCAGTCTGTTAGGTATCTGACTCCTCATACCGGTTCAGGTCATGATCTCAGAGTCATGGGATTGGGCCCCATGTCGGGCCCTGTGCTCAGCAGAGTCTGTTTGTCCCTGTCCCTCTGTTCCTCCCCCTGTGGGTGTGCTCTCTCTGTCTCTCTCAAATAAAAATAAGCAAATAAATAAATAAATAAACAAATTAATTTAAAAAATCTTAAACCCAACCAACCAGCCCATATTTGTGGAGCACTATGTGCCAAGAATTTTAGGAGCAAAGTAGAACAATCCTTACAACATTTTCAGTAGCAGGGTAGCATGCATGGAGGGCTCCAGAATGCACATCAGAGACTGGTCTGTAAGCGTCATCTGGCGGCATCACCCCGACGGACAAAGTGGACCTTAGCTTACAGAGCATGAGGGGCCAGGGCATGAGCAGCCTGAACCAGGCACTCGCCTTCGGGACTAGCTAGGGAAGCCCAGACCTTTGCTTTCTCAGAGGTCAGGGCTCAAAGGGAGCCTGGGCCGTGCAGAGGTGAAGCACAAGCGAAAAGGCAGATTTCTCACGTCGGCCAGCCTGGAGACAAGGCTGCAGAGCTGAGCTTTCTGCCTGGGCATGTCCTTTTTCTGGTTGTCCAGCTGAAGAAGAGATTCCACATGCTGTCATTTGATGTCACTTCCTATATTTAGTTACCAAACACATCGCCTTCGGTCCCCTGATGCTGATGCCGCTTGGGTGAGGATCCTGGGAAGTAAGTCCCACTCGGCAGGCTTCAGAATCCATTCCTGGCTGCTCTTTTGTTTTGGGGGAGGGATCCCACTTGCACAAACTTTTGACTATGCTGAGGTATGGATCAGGTCTCGTCTGGAATGAAGGGGCTGAGATAATGGGGAGCCCAGTTCCACTCACCCGGGACCTGCAGACAATATCCCGCAGTGACGTGCAGAATCAGGTTGTATCCCAGGCAACAGGAGGGGAGGAGGCAAGAAGTCAGAGTTCTGTTTTCCATGGGGCTGGTGGGGGTTCTCGTATTGACAGTGTGCAGAGGTGACCTGGCCAAAGGTACTCCCCTTCATGAGGGAGAGGCCAGTTCTGATAACGTGGCAGCAGCCACACTTCAGGCTAGAGGACCTTCTGGAGGGGCAAGGCTCTGTACACCAAGGCCAGGGAGGGCTGATGTCTATTTTAAGCTTCTCTTTTCAGTATTACAATAATAAAATTTTGTTAGCCATTGCAGTCAGACTAGCTGGACTCTAGGGATTTAAGGAATGTGCCTACTCATAATAGGGTTCACCTGGCAGAGAAGATTCTAGAACTATGCTTTCAAACATGGTAGCTACTTGTGGCTAGTCTGAATGAAGATGTCATATAAGTATAAAATATGTATCAGCGTTCAAAGACTTACTGCAAAAAAAGAGAATGTGAACTATTTCATGGATATTTAAAATTTTTTATTGCATATTGAAATTATAATAATTTGGATATGTTAGGTTAAAGAAAACATGTTATAAAAATGAGTTTCATCTGGTTTTTTAATTTTTTAAAATGTGGCTACTGGAAAATTTAAAATTACATGTGTGGCTTGCATTTTATTTCTGTTGGAAAGTGCTGTTCTAGGAGTCTCAGGGTGACTTCCAGAAATCCTGAGTGGCCAAGATATGAAAGCACCACCAGACTGATTTGACACATCAGCATCCCTTGGGGAGTCTAGAAATTGGTGGATGAGGAAACTCCAATGAAGATTGCTCTTGCTGTGGCTTGGGCCACCTTAGTTGGGTATAAAAGGGAAGTGTGACCTCAGAGAGCTGGGCCTATGGGTTTAGCCTCAGAGTATGAGAACTAGTGACTTTTACTTTGCAGTGGCTTCTAAAATGGTTTCACCAAGACATCAATCCAGAAGTCCAGGATGGGGCCGAGGAGCAAGAAGCCCCCAGGTAGATCCCAAAAAGCTTAGGAGTGGCTTTCAGGCTCAGCAAGCAACTAGGTGGCTTTACTTCAGGACATTAGAGAGTTTGTTCACAAAGACGCTGCTAGACCATGGCTATGTAGAATGGGTTTTTATACCATGGGTCAAATCACAAATGCCCACGTGTAAAATTCCACATTATAAGAACATGATATGATCCAGAGCAGTAGACACTGTTGGTGCCTTGATCGATCATTTTCGGTTTGTGAACGCATTCCCCAGCCTCTGTGATTTTGCTGGTAATGGCAACTGTGATCCTCTTTGGATGATTGCTCATGGGTTACTGGTGCCCTCTCGCCCATTCAGAGAGCCAAAGTTCCCATAGCCAACGACTGACTCATGCAGGTGTGCAAAACTCTGCCTCCAGGAGGGACAACTCTGAGCTGCAGTTATGCATCAGAGCTCTCCAGTAATCAGGTTGAGGTTACACCTCAAGTCACATTCTTTTTTTTTTTTTTGTCTCCCCCCTCCCGCCTCAAGTGACATTCTTGTTTGGCTTCTTCGCTTTCCTTGTCCCACTCCCTCCACTCCCTTCCTGATTGTTCTTGGAGGCACTTCATAAACAACAAATCACTTATTCTGAAATGCTCATTTCTGGGGAACACCACCAGAAAACATAGCCAGACTTTATTGTGGGTATTGGTCTTGACCTTGGGTGGTGGCCATGTAATACACATCCATTGAAAGTGTGGGGGATTCCAAACTCTTGAGACACCCTTGCTGAGCCCTGACCTTGTACCCAGAAAATCAGGGGCTGCAAGACCAGAATGGGGCTGCAAGACCAGAATGGGGTCCATGTCTGCCCTGCTTCACCCCAGCCGTGTCCATGAAGCAGCAATGAACATCACACCAACACATGGCTTCCCCTCTGATGGTTTATTTTATTGCTATTTAATTAGGCTCTTCCCCAAACATCTTTCGATCTTCATCATGGCCTCTCATCCAGAAAGTTGAAATTGTGCCCTGCTTCTTGCCATCTTCATGGCACCCCCTTCCCTCTTAGATAAAATATTTCAACATAAAGATCGAAACAGGAACTTAGCTGAGTTTTGCAACACAGAAATGTATCCCAGGCCTACATTTATAGAAACTGGGGGGTGGGGAAGAGCAAGGAGTCCACAGGAATGGGGGAGGTATGCACGCGGAGGGTAGTCACACGGGGCGGGAGGCAAGCAAAATGGGAATAGATATCTGAGTCCTGGAGGCTCCAGAATCATCAGAAATTACCAACTTATCTATGGGGAGAGTTTTAGAAAAATCTATAAACACACACTGTCTCCACATGGGAGGTACTCACTTCCCTTTAAGGTAGACTAGAAAAAAAATGAGAGAAAACCCGAAACCCCACATTAACTAAACACACACACACACACACACACACGACAAACTCTAAGTCTCAGGATAAACACCTTCAAATAGGCACTTGGTGTTTTCAGCTCTGGGGTTGCAGAGATCGGGGGCTTGGCCCCCCAAAGGCAGGGGCACAACAGCTTCTGAAGGCTCTGGGGTCTGATCTGTCAGATGGTACTGGCCCAGCTGGATGGGAAAGGAGGGCTGGTTGAAAAAGAACCCTTTGCCTTCATCCAAAATAGTGACTTGCAGGAATTTCTGTGCCCTGTGCATTTCCTGAATCTAGTGGGTTGGCACTTCTAAAGAGCACATCACTGAAAGGACAAGTGCTGGCCATTCAGATGTGGGCACTGCATGTTGAGAACTGGCTGGCTCCATGAGGCAGAGACCAGGACCAGGGTGCTGCTAACCACCACATCCTCACAGCACAGCACCGAGCCTGGCACTTAGTAGGCACACGACAAATGTTTTCTGAATGAAAAAATGAAATAACCCAAGAAGAAAATCCTGTTCTCCCGAGAACACACATTTATAACCTCATTGGCTATGAATTGGTTCTTTTTAATCCTCAAAGTAGAATTATAATTCACTTATTCTCCCAACAACAGTTGGGCCTAAAGTAACTTTTTTTTTAGTTGAAACCGAGTCTTTTGGGTTGGAGCCAGGGACTTAAACTAGTTATGTCCAAATGAGAGGATGTTCAGCAAATGTGCTGGTGAACTTCCATGGGATAGCCCAGCTGCTGGCCCAGAACTGGTGGTTGGGCTGGGGGTCAGGCCAGGTCCTTATATGTTGAGTCTAAGGTCTAGGGAGAACAGGTGGGTCTTTAATTATACCATAGGGGCAGGTCTGAGCCTGGCTGGTGGTGAAAAAGTCCCCGTGTAGCTGCCTGGAGGGATCGCATGAGGAGTAGGAAGTGGAGGCATGCGAGGAGGGAGACCAAGGACTGCCCAGAGAACGGGGAACCAGGCAGGAGAAGGATACGGCTGAGCCTGGGCATCTTCACCCACGGCCCTCTCAGGTACAAGGATGCTGGTCTGGGGGGAACCCCTCAAGCATTTGGAGAGCCTGTGTCCATCAAAAAGATGAGGTATACGGAGCGTCTTGAAAATGGAGAGGTCTGTTCTGATAAAATTCACTTCGGGGGAAGGTTCTAAACTCAATTATTTGGACCCTCAGGGAATGGGGAAGCTAGTCAGTGCTGTCTACACTGCAGAGAGAAAGCCAAGGGGATCTGAGAGAGGCTGGGAAGGAATGAATAATTGGAAGCAGCCAGCTGGACACCCCAAGGGAGCTGAATTTGGAATGACAGCAGCTCAAGGTACATCTGGGGCCCCGGGGTCCCTTTCCACAGGATCTACCTTGGCCCTCAGGGCATGGTTGCCAGAACCGGTGATCCCAGAACCTTCAGAACCTCCTTCCTTTCTCTCCTCCTTCAGTTTTGGACAAGAGACTAAGGACTCTTTGGGGAATGGTTTGGGTATAGAGGTTTTTTGTTGTTGTTTTTCATATCAGGGCTATATAGACACTGGCCCAATGCACAGCTATTTTCAGAAAGGAAGGGTTGAGGTTCACTGGGGGTGACTTTGGTGGATGCTGGGGCCCTTCTGAGAGATGGCAAGGTACTGATGTCCCCAATACGTGCCCCCTCCCTGGAGGCCTCCCAGTGGGGCAGTCCAGTCCTTGTCAAGTCCTTGCCAGGCAGGGGGGAGCTCTGGGGGGTGTCTGTGCCAGGGGTCTGGAGAAGGAAGGGGGGAGGGAGGTGCCAAGGCCCCCTGTCATGGGAGCTCTGACAGTTGGGTTTTCTCTTTCTGGTTATACAAGTGCCTGACTTGGGCTTGGACTGCTGAGATGCCCACATCAAAGAAAGCTATCTGCGATAAGCACGCTGCCAGCCACAGGACTAGATAAAACGCCAGGCTTCCTCCTTCCCCAGGCTCCTCTGTTTTAGAAATCTTAGCTGCTTTCTAAAGCTGACTATTTCGGGCCCCTTGATTTTCCTTGTCCTGTGCTTTGAATTCCTGCTCTTATGTTTCAGATTCACGGACAAAGAAGAGCCTACAAAACCCTAGGTCCTCACCCCCCCCGCCCCCCAAAAAAGCAGACCCCAGGCCTGTGCCGCCTCTCTCTCTCCCTGCGACTTGGCTGTGTGGCCCCAGGTGTGCCGTGCAATGTCCAGGTCCTGGAAGTAATCATCCTTTTCTTCCCCACCCCCAAAGTTTCCTGACCGTTGTTGCTGATGGGCGTCTTGCAATCAATCCCAAGAACCACGAGGGCCAGTCCAGCCACAATATCAGCTATGGATGGGCTGAGACCTGCACCCCACAGCCCCCCGCGGGCTCAGGGCACCATGTGCCACCACTTGAAAGAGAAGGGCTTCCGGCGCACGTTGGTGCCGCAGTGCACCTCCCCCAGGAACTTGTGGTAGGCCGAGATGTCGTCCACGAAGGTGCAGCAGAGGCCCAGCGGCTCCAGCAGGGAGCGCACGTGCGTCTCCAGGCAGCACACGTCCTCCACCTGGGGCCCAAAGGGCTTGGGGATGCCCAGGTCCTTGTCCAGCACGATCATGTTCACCTGTGACCGGGGTGCGGCATCAGCGCCTGCTCAGTGAGCGCCAGCTACCCACCGGGCCCGGTTCTAAGCTCGTGGGATGTTCCCCTTCCCCTCCCACGTAGGCGTGGCCATCATCTCCTCTTTACAGAGTAGGAAACCGAGGCACAGAGGGGGCTAGGCGGCTCACATGTGGCAGAGCTCAAGTGGAAAACCTGGCGACCCACCTCTGCATGTGTGTGCGGGTACGAGCACCTGCACGTGGTTACACATGTCCGAATCGGCATGTGTGTGTGCGTGCGTGTGTGTGTCCTAACCTCCTCCGGCTCCTAGAAGCCTCTCTTCTATGACAACTTGCATCCCTCCTGTCCATAAAGGCCTCTTTAACTTAGCACGTTCCTATCTGTCAGGGTAAAGGATTTCCCAGGATCCCAGGAGGGGCTAGGATGAGCCTGTCACCCCCGGGAGGGAATGCAGCCCAGAGAGGGCAAGGGCCTGGGCTGGGTGGGCGAGGCCGCAGAGCCGCTCAGCCGGGACGGGGACCTGGATCTCCCGACCCAACGGCCTCCGCCGCCCAGGGGTCCCTCCTGGGTCCGGCTGCCCTAATGGGCCTAGACGAGCTGGGGGCCCAGAGTGCCTCACCATGTTTGGGAAGAAGGCCCTGGCCTGGCGGTGCTCATCCATTTTGAACAGAGCGGGGAGATCGATGATGTCCTGCTCCGTGAGCCCCAACTCCTTCTTGAGGATGTCACGGTTCCAGTCCAGGCAACGCTGGGTGACGGGGAGGGTAGGGCAGGCCAGTGAGGGAGGACACTCCTGCCACTTCGTCTACCTTGCTCCTGTCTAAGCAGAAGACCCTGGGCCCCTGCACTCCAGGGAGACTTCCAGGCTCACCCAGCCCCCTCCACCTCTCCAGTGCCCCTCCCACCACGGCCCGGTGACAGTAGCAATAGAGCGAGACAGAAGAAGATCACAGAAATCACGCTTTTAGGCAGAAATGAGACAGGGACTCAGGAGGTGGGATCCACCCATGGCAAATTTGCTTCAGGGAGCTCTGATCCCCTAAAACAAATAAAAATCCAGGGCGTATATTGACACATTTTTCTAGAGGGCAGGTCCGTAGCTTGCGTATTTTTTATTTTATTTTTATTTATTTTTAAAGTAGGCTTCATGCTGGATGTGGAGCCCAATGTGGGGCTCAACCTCACAACCCTGAAATCAAGACTTGAGCTAAAATCAAGAGTCAGCTTACCTGACTGAGCCACCCAGGCGCCCCTGCATCATTTGTTGAAGGGGTGTCTCTACCTCAAATGTCAAGAGCTCTGGACTTACAGAGCCTTCTGGTTTTTTTTTTTTTTTTTTTTTTTTTTTTTTTTTTTAGCACTGCTGATAGCTTTCCTTCCCTGGTCTCCTGTCTGCTCCTGGCCTCTGCTGACCTGCCCTTTCTGTCTTTGTCCCTCCATCTAGCTTCTGGCTTTAGCACAGGAGCAACGCAGGGAGGCTGGATCGAATGTTCCTGGAGGCCCTGAACCCCTGGTCTTTTCCTGTGGAAGCCCTGAGGATGTGAAAGGGGTCACAGGGCATGAACCCTCCATCCCTCCCAGGGCCCCCTGCTCCGCCCTCACCTGGAAGTACTGGTTCTCTTGCACGAGGCTCTCATTGGACAGAATCTTGTTGATGGTGATCCGCTTGCTGCTCATCCCGCCCAAGCCTGTGGAGATCAGAGGTCACAGGGGACAGTCTAGCCCTGGGGAACCCATCCTGGGTGCTCCCCTCTGTCAGCTGCCCAGCTTTTGGGCTAACTGCTGGGAGGAGGGAGATGGGGCTGGGACAGGCTGGGGCACAGGATGGCAGCCCCCCCGGGGAAAGCAGGCCCCCTCTGCCAGGGCAGAGCAGCAGACACTGCTTTCTCCAGAGTGGGCTGTGTTGCCTGGGCCAGGGAAGAGGTGGCAATGCCTTGCTCTCTCTCTGGCCACAGGGTGGGGTGGCACCAGTAGGTACCTGGGTCTCCCACCTGGAGCCTGCTTCTAAGGACAAGCAGCTGACCAGGGTGAGTGTGGCAAAAGCAGGGTGCCCAGAGGTCACCCTTCCTGTTTTCCAGAACTGCCGCACACTCCGCCCCTGCCTTGGTCTGTGCCTGCACCTGTCTCCTACTCCACACGTGGCTTTTGATCTGGTTAGTAATACCTAAACTCATCGAGCACCTACTACGTGACAGACACTGTTCTAGATGTTTTACGTGGATTAACCCAGGAATCTTTCCTACATTTTTATGAGGTGGCTGCTAGCATTAAAGATGGGGAAACAGGGATGCCTGGGTGGCTCAGTGGTTGAGCATCTCCCTTTGGCCCAGGGCTTGATCCTGGAGTCCTAGGATCCAGTCCCACATCGGGCTCCCTGCGTGGAGCCTGCTTCTCCCTCTGCCTGTGTCTCTGCCTCTCTCTCTCTCTCTCTCTCTGTGTGTGTCTCTCATGAATAAATAAAGTTTTTTAAAAATGGGAAAACAGAGGCACAGAGAAGTTAAATGACTTGTCCAAGGGCTAGTGGCAGAGGCTGCATGCAGACCGGGCAGTCTGATTCCAGAGCCTGAGCTTTAATAATAATTCTTCTTCTTTCTCCTCCCCTTACTCCTTCTTCTTTTCCTTCTCCTTCTTTTTGCCTAATCTAGGAAGAGGCTGCCAGTCCCTTGCACTCCCCAGTCTTGCAGCCCGTCAGTGCCAAAGAGCTTGGGGCTGTCGCACCGTGTACCTGCACCGTCTCCCCACCACCACTTGGACTCCTTTGTACAAAGATAACGGTTTCTTTATTCTATGGGTAACTTTAGGGTGTGTTTAATATAGAAAGAAGGCTCTGGAAAATCCAGACCTGTGCCCGCCAATCCAAGTAAAAAATTTCCTGAAGGCAGGGAATCAAAAAAGGACACAGGGCTTAGCTTGGCCCTGTTGTTCTGGACACCAGTCCGTCAGGAACGCTGCCTTGGGGTGTGGAGGGCAGTGATGTGTGTATAAGTATCAACCAGCCTCAGTAACCCGACTTTTGGGAGTAGGGAGATTGGAGACACCATCCTGAAAAGCAGCACAGAGTAATTTAAGAAAAACACAGAAGAAACCGTCACGGCCCCTCTAACCTGGCTCACCGTCTCCACTCGATCAGCTTTCCCCTCTTTCCATGATTAATTTAAGAGCACACCTAATCCCCGTCTACCTCTGTCCCAATTAAGTGAATGTCCCAATTAAGCAGATAATTTCTCACTCTGGGACTGACAGTGATGAGGTCTGACTGTAAATCATGTCTATCTATTCCCACTTTTCTTCCTGCCCCTAAACTGCGTTGTGTATATTTTTCTGTCACTTTTTATTTATTTACTTATTTTTTAAGATTTTATTTATTTATTCATGAGAGACACAGAGAGAGGCAGAGACGCGGGCAGAGGGAGAAGCAGGCTCCCCGCGGGGAGCCCGACGTGGGACTCGACCCCAGGACCTCAGGATCATGACCCAAGCCAAAGGCAGACTCTCACCACTGAGCCACCCGGGTGCCCCCTCTGTCTCCTTTTTAAGCTTCTCGAATACAGATCACATGTCACTTAACTCTCTTTTGGGTTTGGTGCCATTTGAAGTGTACACTAGGTCCTGAAGAAGCGTCTGGGGCTGCTGCTGATAAGGAGCAGGGGGCAGCTCATGGTCCGGCTGACCACAGCGAGGGTCACAAGAAGCCAGGGCTGCTTACGACCGCGCTGACCTCACAGGCCGGAGCAGCCCAGCCACCCAGGGAAGCGGAGCTGGATGCTCAGGGGCAATGTGCTCACCTGCCCTGTCCTCCTGCGCGTCTCCCTGGGCGCTCCGCTCCCCACTCCCTGCCAAGGTCCCCTGGGCACTCACCTTTGAACATGATGGCTTCCCCGTGGCCCTCCCTCTGCTTCTCTCGGAAGAGCTTGTAGCAGGCCGAGGTACTGGCCATGAGCATCCGGAATTTCTGCGAGAGGACGTCCAGAGGGACAGTGTCAGCCGAGGGGACATGGCCAAGTAGCACGGGGGAGTCCCAGGGGGCTCAGAGCCCCGATGCCCGTGGTCTCGGGCCTCCTCGTGCCGAGGGGCAAGGGCGGCCTGCCTGGCAGGGTTTTCTCTGTGTCAGAGCAGCGTCTTTCACCCTTCCTGCTCTAGAAACTCCTCCACCTCAGCAACGCCATCGAGTCAAAGCTCAGAGTCTAAGATGGCTTCTTCTTCAGGGTGGAAGAGCTTCTGCACGTGGCCAAGAGGACAGGCCATTTGCAAAACTTTTCCAGGGTGGGAACTTGCAGCCATCCCTTGCCCTTCGGAAAGTGAAACAGGCCCCGGCCCATACCCCATGGTTCCCTAGAGCCTTGCGGCCAGTACAGTAGCCACAGCCCTGTGGCCTTGGACTCGTGAGTTGTGGCTAATTGGAACTGAGATGTGCTGTGAGGAGTAAAATACGCACCAGAGTTTGAAGACTTGGCATGAATAAAAGAATGCAGCATCGCTCATTAATAATTTTTATATTGATTACACGGTGAAATGCTAATATTTTGCTCCCCGGGGTTAAAAATTTAACAGCCGCAGCGACAACAGGTGAACCAGCTTGAGCCTACTTCCTTCTCCCAGCGGTGCAGCCACCATCTCTAGGTCCTGCCCTCTGCTGACAAGAGCTGGTAGCTTGTGGGTTCCCCATCATCCCAGTCACTCCAGCCTCAGGGGCCAGCTCACCTTTGTGCCCGGGATGGGGACGAAGGTCATGAACTCGTCCACGTGGCCCACGGTCAGCCAGTCCGAGTAGAGCTCCACGGGCGCCTGCACCTGCTGGGCTTGCAGGAAGTCCCGCACCACCTTGGTCATCCTCCGACCACCGGACCTGGGGCAGGGGTGGGGAGGGGGCAGCTCTTCAGATGGTGTTGCGCTGCACCTGCCTCGCCAGAGGGCCTGCAGGAGTGTAGCCCCCAGAACCCAGCCTGGATCCAGGGTGGCGTCAGCAAAAGGCTCGGGGAGGAGCCTGAGCCACGGGGCTGAGAGACCCTGGTGCTGCCAGGGAGGCAGTTGCGCCCAAGGAGAAAGAAGGGGGCCTTAGCTGTCGCCATGTCCTGTATGAAGGACCTGGAGCCCAGCCTTCACCCCTTTCAGCTCCTGAGGGTGTCAGGGGGCATAAAGAGGCCAGCTTCTGGGCTCAGGGGTCCTGCAGGGACTGCTGGAGGGGGCTAGGGCACAGGCATGGTTCCAAAATCTACCCCAGGCCATGTGCCTCTTTGTTATATTATCTTCTACTTAACTTCAATCTTTAATCAGTTCAAGTGACACCTCCTCCAGGAAGCCCTTCTTCCTGATTTGTGACTCTCTGAGGTCTTTGATCTCCCCGGGACCCTTAAACTATCACTCAAGGCCCTCACAGGGGCAGCCCCAGTGGCGCAGCAGTTTAGTGCCGCCTGCAGCCCGGGGTGTGATCCTGGAAGCCCGGGATCGAGTCCCACGTCAGGCTCCCTGCATGGAGCCTGCTTCTCCTTCTCCCTCTGCCTCTCTCTCTCTCTCTCTTTCTGAATAAATAAATAAATCTTAAAAAAAAAAAAAAGGCCCTCACAGTACCTTGCCAGAGGAAGAAATTCCTCTCTGATTTGGCCTCTGCCTGGATCTGTTACCTCCTCTCCTTCCTTCCTCCTTGTTCTACTTCCTAAGGTTGCTGCCCCCTCAAGCCTTTCCCCTCCTGCTCCTTCTATTTGAAATGCTCTTTCCCTCTGATCTTCCCACGGCTGCCCCCTTCTCATTCAAGCCTTGATTCCCAAGTCACTGCCTTTTTAAAATTTTTTTATTTTTTATTTTTATTTATTTTTTATTTTTATTTTATTTATTTATGATAGGCACATAAATAAATATGTGCCTGAGAGAGAGAGGCAGAGACATAGGCAGAGGGAGAAGCAGGCTCCATGCACCGGGAGCCCGGCATGGGATTTGATCCCGGGTCTCTAGGATCGCACCCTGGGCCAAAGGCAGGCGCTAAACCACTGCACCACCCAGGGATCCCTATTTTTTTATTTTTAAAGATTTTATTTATTCATAGAGACACACACAGAGAGAGAGGCAGAGGCACAGGCAGAGGGAGAAGCAGGCTCCATGCACCGGGAGCCCGACGTGGGATTCGATCCCGGGTCTCCAGGATCGCGCCCTGGGCCAAAGGCAGGCGCCAAATTGCTGCACCACCCAGGGATCCCCCAAGTCACTGCCTTAAATCCACGAAAGCTAAAGCGCACCTGCCCCATCACTCTCTACTATATAAACCCTGTTTTACCTTCTTTATTGCAACTTGTTAGCATCCAGAAGGGGCTCATTTATTTGCTGGCTGCCATGTTCATTTTCTGTACTCCTCCCACCCTAATTGAAAATTTGCCAAGAGCCGGGGCTTTGTCTGCTTGGCTCACTGATGTATCCCTAGAGCCTAGCACAGTGCCTGGCAGAGAAGGCCCTCAATTAATATTTGTCTCTAAGGAGCCCTCCCTGGATTCCCCAAGGGGGTTAGAGACTCCTGTTTGGGTTCCCCTGGCTCCCTATCATTTTTTCTGTCACCATATATGGTCCTCCCTCGCACCTCTGCTGTTTCATGTCTGTGATCTCCACTGTCTCCTTGGAGACAGGGGCTGGGCTTCATGTTTAGAGCACCATGGATGGCACCAGGTTGGTCCATGGAAATATTTGCTGAATGGATGAATGACTACTGAGTGGAGGGAAGAGGGGAGGTGGACACACAGGCACTGCCTCTTCCAGAAGGTAGAGCATCCCATGTGGCTTGGAGGGACTTGGTACCCAAATCCTGGCTGATCCCATATATGCAGGTTCCTGGCAGCCCTTTTGTGAAATGAGGACCCACAGTTCTCACTCTTCCCAGACTGTCTTGATCAAGGAAGAATCTGCCTTTTCATTGGGAAGTGGGTCCCCTGGGGAGGGAGTGACAGTGTTGTGGACAGGTCAGGGAGCTAGGGACTCACACTTTGGGAAGGGCCATGTCTTCTCCACCCTCTTTTGTATATGGGCACCCCCAAGGACTTATTAGTACTCTCCTACTCAGCCTCTTTCGGTTACCTCCTATGGACTCTTTTGTTCCTTCCCTACCTGGTTTATAATCTCATTATACAACCTCCCATTTGGGGAAAAACTATTTATTTAGTTTTATATTAGATCCTAAGTCCTACTAAGATATAAAGGCTAACTTGGTTTTATTTTTAAGAGCGTCTGTATCTTTTTAGATTCTCCCAGCCAACCCCTCCATGTGTGAGCCACCCAGGCCACTCCTAAAGAGAAAGAGTAATTCCCCGGCCCTACCCGCTCCCGCAGTCCCAACCCTGGCTCCTCTTACAGAGGAAAGCTGCTCCCGATGAGGATCCGGCCCAGGGGGTAGGTCTTGCCGTTCACAGTCACTGGTGGACTGACCTCCAGGTTCCCAAAGGAATCAAGGCTGGTGACAGGCTCGAAGAGGGGCTCCCGGGTCACGTAGCCAAAATCTGGGCCCTGGGCAGGGGGCAAACACCCATCATTAGCCTTCTGTAGCCAGAGGTCCTTAGCCCCAGCTCAGCCACCCTCTGATGAGTACTCTTACACCACCTTGGGTCTGGCACTGTGGGCATTTGGTTTCTAGGGGGTCACCCACAGTCTTCTCATTCCCACTGAAGAGCAGGGGCAAGGTATGGGGAGGCTGAGTTTGTGGGTATGCTGGCCAGTGTGGGCATGCATGGAGGTATATAAGTGTGTATTAGTGTGTGTGTGTGTGTGTGTGTGTGTGTGTATGTGCATGGGGTCTCTGCATGTGCCTGTTTCTAGACACAGAGACATCACAGACTCATATTGGTGACTTCAGGGGTGGTTTGCATTTTGTGCTGTTGACATCCCTGCTCATCTCTTTCTTTATCTGACCCTCAGTTTCCCCATCTGTAGAAGAGGTATTGGTTTAGGTACTAGAGGGAGGGTGGTAGACGGTACTATCATTCCCAGAGACTTGCTACCCTCTTCCCAGTAAGAGGATTTTGTATCCTGAGTCCTTGTTAGTATGTGGTATCTCCCAGCAGAAGGAAGGGAATTCCCCACCCAGTGTTGGACCCGGTCATGTGACTTGCTTTGGCCAGTGAAATATGAGCAGAAATGACATGTGCCAGTTTGGAGCAGAAGCCATCAGCTCCGCTGTGTATGTTTGCCAAATCTTTCTCTTCTCCTCGTGCTAGGAGAATGGCATTTCTCAGGCTGGGGCTGCTCCTGCAGACAGGGCTCTAGAATGGGGAAGGCACAAGGAGGCCGGGCCGCGGACAACCAGCCCACAGTCAACACAGAATCACAAGTGAGAAATGGACCTTTGTTGTCGTCAGCCACGAAGATTTGGGAATTGTTTGTTACTGCAGGCTTACCTAGTAAAAGCTGACCGATACATGAGGAATGACAGATTTGCAACATACACACCATCCCGGCCCATTCCCAGCCAACTGTATCTGTTCCCTGAGCCCAAAGAGAGCCTCCGAATCCTGCTTAGAACAGAGCTCCAAAAAATTAGAGCTGGCACACAACGTAACCCCAGTGACCCTTGAATTTTAAGGTTCCTTTCAGGATTTTTCAGTGAAAAAGTAGGGGCCTCACTTGAGAACTTGCATTGGGGCTGGAACTAAGCTTGCCTGATAAAAGTTCTTGTAAAAAAATTGCATGGGGTAGGAAGATGTAGCTTATCCTGGCCCAGCTGAGAGGCTCAAGGGATAGCCGTGCCCAGTGACGTGGACAGCTGTAGCTTAGGGCTTTTTTTTGCTTGGGAGTCCCAGATGACAAGGTGTGACTTGCTGGAAGCTGGGCAGCTGGGCTTTAGGGCATCACGCAGGCGGGCAAGCACGTGGCACAAAGCCGGGCTTGGCCCGGATCACCAGGAACAGTGCAGCCTGGGACCTTGGAGCCAGGCCAGCCTGGAGCACTGAAGGCACATGGTGACATGGGAAGAGGGGTAGAGTCATACTGGCCTCCAGTAGCAGTTACCAAGGCCTCCCAGCAAACTGAGGCTTGTAGAGGTTAAGCTGCTTGTCCACGGTCAAGGGGTGGAAGGAGATACAAGGCCAGGCTCCTCCACCATCTTCCTGTGGTGAGGGCACTAGGTTAGGGAAGGTTCCCAAGATGTACATGTGAACCATGAATGTCTCCGGACTCAAGCAGAGGCTGCCCTGCCTGTGACCTCGGGAAAAACTCTTGATCTATCCCAGTCTCCACTTCGTGCTCTATCCAAACCGCCCGTCCTGTTCCAGGGGGAAGGTGAGATTTTGGTTTTGCCCTTACTCAACCAGTGGTTAAGGGCATAAATGGGAGTGGTAATGGCTTCTAGAACCAGGGGGTCAGATTGCTTAAAAAAAAAAAGCCCACACCAACCGAAAACCATACCTTCAATGAGCTTTGAGTTTAGAACCATGATTTTTGACATTTAAGTATAATTTTCCTCTTTGAAACTTATTTTTCTTGGGGTACCTGGATGGCTCAGTTGGTTGGGGATCTGCCTTTGGCGCAGGTCATGATCTCAGGATCCTGAGATTGAGCCCTGCATCTGGCTCTCTGCTCAGTGGGGAGCCTACTTCTCCCCCTCCCCCTCCCCATTGGCCATGCACACCCATGTGCACACACTCTCTCTGTCAAATAAATAAATAAAATATTAAAAAAAGAAAGAAACTCATCTTTCTGCAAGTTGGGGCTGGGGCTGGGGATGGACCCCCACCCCACCTCTTTCCTATAGCTCCCATTTTATTTATTTTAGATCTCATTCATTCATTCATTCATTCATTCATGATAGACATAGGGAAAGAGAGAGAGGCAGAAACACAGGCAGAAGGAGAAGCAGGCTCCATGCAGGGAGCCCGACGTGGGACTCGATCTGGGACTCCAGGATCGTGTCCTGGGCCAAAGGCCGGAGCTGAACTGCTGAGCCACCCAAGGATCCCCCTAGTTCCCATTTTCTACAAGAAAACTCTCCTCTGAGTAAATTTTTTAATCCAGGGGATCAAAAAATCTCATCCGGGTGGCTTTTTACTCCTGCCTTCCAAAATGCGTGAAACTGATAACAAATGGTACATTTATTGAGCACTTGTGGTGTGCCAGGCCCTGGGGAAGTGTCACACTTTCTTATGAGAAAACTTTTCAAGGAAAGGACCATGGAGGTCACTACCCCAACTGATTCATTCTGCACATGAGAAGATGGAAGCAGTGGGCAACAGACTAACTTGTCAAGGGGTGCCCAAGGTCTCCGGAGCTCTCTGTTCTTTAAGAGCCCCCAGGATTGTTTCCCTCATGCCCCACCCCAAGGTGGCCCTCAGCATCTCACCAGAAGCTGCTTCACTGGGAAGTCCTTCAGGTTTCCATCTCGGGGTGAGTCCAGTACCACAGGGAAGCCTTTGTGGGGGGCCTCTATGTAGCCAAATTCAACTTCATCCTGTGGGGACACCAAGGAGAGCCGTCAGACGAGCCAGTCTCTCTAGTTCTCCTCACTACCAAGCAATGGCAATGGTTCCTTACATATCCTTCTTCAAATAGTCTCTGCACACTCTAAGCATATTTGCATTCATATCAACCCCATTTCTTCAAACATAATGAATAACATCCTTACGTTCATTTTCCTGCAAGTAGCACCTTAATTTGAAGCGCATTCTGTATTTATAGGTTGGCTTCTTTTTAGCTGTTGTATACTACTCCACTGTACCCCCCCCCCCCGCCCCCGCGGGTTACCCAGTCCCTCGTGGATAGACATTTAGGTTGTTTTACAGTCTTTTGCTACTTCAAGAAGCAACGCTGCAGTGAATCACGTTATACAGTTATGTGTCTGTGCACATGTGTGTGTATGAGCCAACAGCAGAATTCCCATACATGGAGCTGCTGGCCAACTCTTCTTGCCTGAGCTGTGGGCCACATCTCTCCCAGCCCATGGTGCCTCACCTGGATCCAGCGGTCACCTCGGTTTACGTACTGGAAGCAGACCTTCAGTTCACAGTTGGTTTTCTCAACCAGGTTCTTCACCTCTTTCAGGAACAAGTAATTGTCCTTCATGCTGAGAGGTTCAGGGAAGAGAGGGAGGCCAGGAGGAAGGGTGAGGAGGGACAGGGCCAGTCTAACTGAGGTGGCAACAAGCAGCTGGCACCTCTGGGCTGTGCTGGGAAGATGAGGCCATCTCATTTGTTCACAGTCACCTTTGCAAAGGCTGCTGTGTGGTGTCTGCCAAGGCCACAAACACATAAAACAAGAAGGGGGGCTCTTGCCCGCTCCCCTGTCCAGATTTCTGAAGAAGAGCTGTGTCTACCCCAGGGCCTCAGGATCCCACTTGTCATGGCCAGCATCCACCTGCCGGGACTCCTCTCTCTCACTTCTCATCTTGCTGCAGCTGTCCAGCACATTATAGGTGCTCAAAAAAGAGTGTTGCATAAGATGAGCTGAACATCTACTGCATAGGAGGCTCCCAACCAGATGATGTGGGCCAAGAATGAGAAAAGGAATGATAGCTATTATTTTTGAAGCACAAGCTGTGCCAGGACCTTGGATTAATACTTTGCCTGCTTCGTTTAATGCCCACAGTGACTCTGTGATGTCAGCATTTCAGAGAAACAGAGGCACAGAGAGGTCAAGTGAGTTGCTCAAGGTCACAGAGATGATAAGTGACAGAGCCAGGATCCAAACTCAGGTCAGTCTGCCCCTGAAGCCCCAGCTATAGTGACTCTGCTGCGCTGCCTCCCGGCGCCATGGCCCATTGCTTACCAGCACACAAACACCGACACAGGAGGCAGGATGTTGGGGGTCATGATCCATGGAGCAATCCGGAATATCACCGTGTCCGTGAAGATGGGAGTCAGGGGAATCTCCTGGGCGTGGGAGAGGGGAGGGGATCACAGAGTCTTGTCTGGGTACCTCTCGTACCTGCCTTCTAGGGAGGGTGAAACTGATAACAATGCTACGTTTGCTGAGCACGGGCACTGTGCCAGGCCCTGGGGGAGTGCCACACGGGCCATTTTGCTTCTGCCTTACAGTAACCACAGGGCAGAGCTGCCATTATAACCCTTGTTTCACAGGTGGGGAAACTGAGTCACAGAACTCTAGTCACAGACCTGTTTCGCAGCTGTCCGAGGTCACGTGGTTAGCAAGGGGAGAGGCTGGATTTAAACCCAAGGGGTCAGGCTGCTGCAGCCATACTGGGAACCACTACCGGATCTTGCCCCATCAAAGGCTCCTTCCTGAAACTGGGCCAGCCCTGCCCCTGCTTCTGTTTCTGCTCTGGGCACCTTGTCCTTTTATACAGGTGAGCATTTTAATGTTGTTTGGAGGAATTTTGCAATGTTCAGACTGTTCTTTAAGGAAAGGTTCAGGAAGCTTGCCTGGAGCCTGGGGGAACATGAGTGGATTCCAGGGTTCCTCTGTATGGTTGGCTTCGAAGAGCTACAGGAAATGGGCACCTGCTGTTGGCGGAGGCCATGGGGGCAGGTGGGACTATGGGCCTCGCTGGCCCTTCCTGCCTGGGTCCGCCTCGTGAGTCTCTGCTGGTGCCCGCCGGAGGGATCAGTCTGAGGCCCTGATGGCCAGGCTGCTCCAAGCTCAGGTGGGAGCAAAAGCCCTCCCCCGTCCAGTCCTGTTAGGGCTGCCTTTTCTCCCTTTCCTCATCTGAGGGACTTGAGGGTGCTTTGTGAATGAGTTCTTACAAGCTTGGATGCTCACAACCACCCCAGGAAGCAGAAACATCTGCTGTTTGTCTTACAGATGGGAAGCGAAGGCACAGGGAGTAGATTCACCTGCCTAATGTCTCCTGGGCTGGAAACTAGGCAGTCTGACTCCAGAATCTGTTGTCAGAAATCTAAGCTATGGGACGCCTGGGTGGCTCATGGGACGCCCAGGTGGTTCAGTGGTTGAGTGTCTGCCATCGGCTCAGGACGTGATCCTGGGGTCCTGGGATCGAGTCCCATGTCATGCTCCCTGCGTGGAGCCTGCTTCTCCCTCTGCCTGTGTCTGTGCCTCTCTCTCTGTGCCTCTCATGAATAAATAAATAAAATCTTAAAAAAAATATCTAAGGGATCCCTGGGTGGCGCAGTGGTTTGGCGCCTGCCTTTGGCCCAGGGCGCGATCTTGGAGACCCGGGATCGAATCCCATATCGGGCTCCCGGTGCATGGAGTCTGCTTCTCCCTCTGCCTGTGTCTCTGCCTCTCTCTCTCTCTCTGTGACTATCATAAATTAAAAATAAAAAAAAATTAAAAAAAATATCTAAGCTAGATGCAGCCTCACCTTCTACAGAGCCCACTGTGTCCTGCCCCAAAGTAGTCTGGAAGTGACAGTGAGGAGGGGACCTTGAGTCTGGGAGGGCAGCCAGGGGTGGGAGCCTGGGGCTGTGTCTTTGGGATGAGAGGTCCTCATCAGTAGGACACACTCTAAGTGAGGGGAGTCTCTCCTCGAGAGGGGCAGGTGCTCTCCTTCTTGTCCAGTTTCCCAAAACCAAGAACAACAGTGAGTGAGGTGTGTGGCCATAGGGTGGGGGCATGACCTGCGGCTGGGATTTGGGGTTCAGCCTGTGGTCAGAGGTGGTATGACCCACAGGGAGGGTGAAGGGTCCGTCTGGGGAGGGAAAAGCAGGGCATATAAGTAGTCGATAAGCCTCATGTGTGTGGCCTGGTTTGCTCCCTGGAGTAACCCCTGGGGATCTGTGCCTCAGAACTAGGTCCACGCTACTGCAGGGAGGGGGAGGACCAGGGGACAAATGTGGGGGATGTCAGAAAACATCACCCACGGGGAACCCCGGGGAGTAGGTGAAGCAAGCACGAGGATCCCGGGGTGTAGCTCAGAGGACCCCAGCTGACATGTGTGGGTGGTCGTTGGGGAGCATCGAGGTCTCTAAGCTTGGCCCCAACCGGTGCTTTGCAGGGAGTGGGGCATAGTGAGGACCGCTGACAGTGGCCCTCTGGAAGGACCCCACCAGGTCCCCAGGGGCAGCCCTTTACGGTGGACGCCTGGAGCCCTCACCTCGGCCATGTACTCCAGCAGGCTGACGTGGATGGAGACCAGGCCTGGGAAGCCCTCGTCGGGAAAACGCAGGCCTTCCACGAAGAACAGCAGCTCCGCGGAGCCGCCCGTGTACTTGACCACGTGGTAGAGCTTCCGCCGGCCCAGGATGTGGATGTAACGCTGGCCGAAAAACGGGTCTGGAGGGAGGAGGGCCAAGGTCAGGCTCCTATCCCTGCCAGGGAGGGGTCACTGGGGCGGGGGGTGGGGGGGCAAGACGGGAGAGTAACTGGTCCTCTGGACACAGGGAGAAACGCACAAGCAGGAAGTGCCACCAGAAGGGCCACAGCCCGGTCATCATCCCAGCACGGCCGCGCTCCCCACGTGGCCCCAAACCAGGCCCCCTCTCTAGCCCCTGGCTTCCTCATCTATAAAACGAGCAGAATCCCAGGAGTGGCCCACGTGAAACGACAGCAGGTGATGACAGAGCAGCTAGTGGTGTGGAGGAAGGATATTACGCTCCTGCTTTACGGATGAGGAAACCGAGTCTCAGAAAGGAGAAATGGCTTGCTGAGGTCACATGGCCAGCACGCGGCCGAGCTGGGACTCCGATTCAGGTGCAATTCTGAACCCCCAGCTCCTGCTCCCCTTTGACAAATGAAACACCAATGTGCCCATCTGTACCCCAAAATCCAGAAGCCGCGTTGGCGTGGAGGCCCACGTGTGGTCTCTGGCTGTGGCGTCTCTTGCCTGGGAGGAGAGGCAGGTGCCCCCAGGGCTTCTGTCCCACTGGAACCCCCCAGCTCTTTACAGTACTCTTCCCTCCGGGCCTTGATTTGTGTCCCTTCTGGGAAGTACACCCAGATCCCCCGGAGACCAAGCCAGGGACCTGTGTGGGCCTTCTGCAGCCCTCGTCCTTGCCCATCACAGCCCTTCTGAGTGGGTGATCTCACTGTTTACCTGTCGACCCTGAGAGACTGTCACCTGGGGGGCAGAGACAGGCCCGGCCGGGCCCAGGGCCAATGTGGCATGGTCGTGTTTCATAAACGTCTACTGGATGCACCCGTGGCTCCCACGCCACTCCCTACAGGAGAATTTTTGGGCTAGAGCAGAATTACTCTGTTCCCAGCATGGCTGAGGACCTCTGGGGGGAGGCGGGCAGTGGAGAGAAATGTGAAGATGCTGTTTCTCTGTCTGCCCAGAGCAGTGCTTGGCCGGTGGTAAGATAAGGCGGATGTGGGAAGTGTCCTAACAGAGCTCGAGAGAGAGCAACCGGCAGGTTACTGGGGTAGGGAGGGTGGGGGCGGGAGGCAGGGTGGGGAGGGTGGAGGCGGGAGGCAGGGTGGGGCGCATGTGAGCAGAGGGAGGCTGACTTTGAGATGCCCTTGGGGTAGCAGAGGTGGGGTGCGGTGAGCAGGGGAGATACTTGCAGTGCCAGAGGCATGGAGGGAGGACCCTATGCAGTTCCAGAAGGAGTTTCTTTATGCCCTGTGGAGCTGGAAGGGCAGAGTCAGGCTCAGCTTGGTACTTATTGTCAACAACGACCGCGACAGTTCATGACCTGTCACCCACGGGTTAGGACACATAACCAGGACAGTCCTCGTACAAATAGGGTGCGTGATCAAAACTAGCAAATTAAATGGAGGAACCTCCGAAGCCCGAGCTCATAGGACGTAAGACAATGTGCCCAACTGGACCCTGGGTAGACGTCTTGCTGAGGGCAGGTTACCTTAGCGGTTATGACTTCCAGAGTCAGAGAGACCTGGGTTCAAATATCGTTCTGACTTTACAAGCAGCAAAAACTCAGGGAATTCACTTAACCTCCCCGAGCCTCAGTTTACCACTTGTTAAATAAGGATAATATCACACCTAGGCCACAGGTCATTGCAAGACAAAATGACACAGCATCCGGAGCGTAGTGAAAGCCGGTAACCATTGGGTACGCGTCGGTGCCGCAGCTGGGCCCCGAGGGTGTCAGTAGGAGGAGAGCCTGTGAATGAGCTAGCGCGACCCTTTCTGCCAAACTCACGGCCTTTGCGTTTGGATGCCTATGAGCGAAGGCAAAGAAATAACACCTCCCCTCCCCTTCCCTTGGGTGGGCCCCAGAAATGAGAAAGACTCGGACCCTGGATGTGCCAAGTTGCTCAGCACGGCCTGACACCGAAGCTGAACTTCTCACTCAGAAACAGTAGCGCCCTGGGTAGATCCTAATCGCCGACTAGATCCAGATGGATCCGCATAATCAAAGCAGTCTCTTCCAGGCATTCAGGCTGCACTCCGAGCTGAGGCTCTGGGGAGAGAGCTCAGGCCTAGAAGCTGACTTGCCTTTGCAAGAAGCTCCAAAGTGTCCCCAGGACTCGGGGCAGCTGGGAGGTCCGCCTGGGCCTGGGGAGGGAAGGGGTCTGGCCTGGAAGCTGTGTCAGGGGGAGGGACACGATCTTGCTCATCTGCATGTAGGTTTTCTACAGTCTCGTGGCCTGCGATTTACATGTGTCTCTCTTTCTGGTCTTGGGCCAGCACCAGGCGCATCGGTTCCGTGGTGGGAACAATCTCGCCACTGTCCCAGGGAGCCTCCTTCCCCCACCCCCAGCTTGGTGCAGGCGGCCTGAGCACGGCCGCCTCTCCCTGCGGGAACCAACAGTGCCCTTCTGTTGAGTGGCCCACATGCCTGGGCCTGGGCCTGCCAGCCACCCTGACCTCTCCTTGGCCCCAGGCATTGGCCCCACCAGCCGGCGCGTGGTGTGGTTTGGCATAACCCTTCTGGTCACCTTGGAGCCGTTCCACCTCCCAAGGTGCGACCAACCGTCCTGGTTTGCCTGGGACTCAGGGATTTCCCAGGATGGGCGATTTTCAGTGTTAAAACCAGGAAAGTTCCTGGGCAAACTGGGACAAGTTGGTCACTGGATTGTTATAGGAAGGGGTCAGGCCCCAACTTTGGGACCAAGGGAAAGAATCTGAGGCTGGAACTCAGTGCCTTCCTAACAGCACTGGGGACTTCTTCTATCTGTTGCAAGGATTATAATTAATAATCATGATAATAATCCCAGCAAAAGCAACAAGCGCCATCTACAGAGGGCATTCTGTGGTCCGGCTGCCGTGGGGAGTGCCTGACACATGCTCCTCATTTGGTCTCCAACCTGAGCAGGGGTAGGATGCCTCTCATCATCCCCAGGTCACGTCACAGCTGAGCCCCAGGCGTGGGCTGGTTAAGTGGACTTGCCCCCATGCAGGGCTTGAGCCTCCCAGGCTCCAGAGCTCCCTCTCAGGGTCCCTCGGCCTCCAGCTCCCTGCCCTTGGGGGACACAGGTGACATAAACCATTTGTGTAACATGACACATGCTCACCCATAGGTGTGCTCAGGCTTTGACAAAACCTGGAAATGTTTGCACGGAAGAGGGGGCAACTGTGCCACAGCGGGATTACTCCCCCGCTGTTCTTTCCAGGATTCCACATATTGTGGGAAAACTGTCGTGGAGTCATGGCTGCACCAGTACTGGGCCCCCCTTGCCCCACAGGACAGCAGCCCAGATGAGACAGGCTGGGGAATGGGGTCTCGAGGCGCTTGTCTGCTCAGAGCCCCTCTCGGATGGCAAGCGAGGGGCAGGGATGTCCTTATGGGGCCAGACTGCAATCCACCCCCATTAATGAACAGAACCCGCTAGATAACGTCCAGGTGTCACTATCAGGAACACAACGCGTGTCACTGTTCCACGCCACGGCGGAGAGGAGCAGGCCTGCGCCGCAGCAGCCCCATCCTCTGTGGCAACCTTGGACCGCACAGGGTAAACATCAACATCCCCGGCCCCCTGGGGCAGCAGAGCCGGCCTGACTCTGGGGACATTCCAACCTGCGTGAGGTCACTGCCAGGGCCCAGGGTGGATCAGGACGGCTGGCTTCGGGTGGCAGCTGTCCGTTGCTGTCCGGGCTAAATCACTCCCTGCGGTGAGGGTCCCGGGCCCTCATGCCCAGCTCCTCCGGCGTCTGCCCCGGCTCTAGTGGGCCTGCCCCGAGGGGGCCCCAGACTTAGGCCGGAGATCCCGGGCCCCCTGGACAGCTGGGCGCACGGGGAAGCCCCACCCTGCATCAGGGCAAAATGCAAAGCTAACTATTTTGCTGAGAGAGCTTTTTAATACATAAATCAGATCTTGACAGTCCCTTGCTTAAAACCTTCTAATGGCTTTCCACCGCACTCCGAATAAAACCCAAGCCCTCCCCCATGCCCTGGCCTCTGCCCAGCTCGCTGACCTTGGCTCCGACACATCCCCCACCTCTAGTCTCTCCCTTTTGCTCCTCCAATGCTCCAAGCCGGTCCACCGCTCTCTGCTTCGTGTGTACCTCTGCTCCCTCTGCCTGGAACACTCTTCCCTCAGCTTACGAACGGCTGGTTCCTTCTCACTGTTGATTTGGGTCCTTTCTGGCCCCACTGGGCCCAGCGATGCCTCACCTCTGCCCACAATATCCCCTAGTACTTGGCAGGTGTCATTTGCTCCGGTTGTGCTCCTTATCACGCCTCCCTCACCAGACCACCCCCTCCCGCTGGGGGGGGGGAGGTTGCAGAGTTCACTGCAGGGGACCCCGTACTGAGAACAGCATCAGGCACCGAGGACAGCACCTGGCTCAACACGTATTTATAGAAAGAATGAGACAAAGCGAGCGGCTATGAGGACTAGCTCTGTGCCCAAAGCATGTTCCCTACACAGCGGGGGCCCTGGATGCCCTGTCACCATCAGGAGGAGCCAGGGGTCCAGTCTGTGTGGGTGCCCACAGCCTCATCGGGGTCTCTTGAAACGTTGGAGGCAGTTCTCGGCTCCAGAAAGCCTGAGATGGGCAGAAAGCACCCGGGGGAGTGCTGCGTGGGTAACCCATCTTCGGTATCATGCGGGTGGCACGGCTCCAGAAAAGCTGGACCTCAAAAACCTGGTTCATGAGAAGAAGGGGCCCTTGGGTTGTACATAAACCTGCATCACTACCGACTCCTCTGAGGGAGGAGCGGCCTATCCCCGGGGCCTCTCAACTTCACGGGACAACAGTGTGCCCAGTGATGGTTACAAAGAGGCGGGTCCTGGCCCTCTTGGGTCCTCTGCACCTGCAGGAACCACCTCTACTGAGGGGTGGCTCTGGGGAGCGTGGAGGGCAGAGCTGGGCCCCGGGGAGGTCCGCTCGGTGGGCACCGGATGGATGGAACCTTCCGGGGCGGCTGCGCTGGGGTCACTCACTTTCCACATAGAACACGCCCACTTTGTCCGAGTCGGCCATGGAAATGTAGAGAATGATCTCGTATCCGGCGGGGAGGCGGTCCGGGCCTTTGGTCCGCAGGATCATCTGGGACATGTCCTTGAGGTCTGGGGTGGGAAGATGCAGAGGAGGTTAGAATTAAGACACACGCCGCTGGAATGTGGGCTCGTAAATAACTGTCACTTTCCAACTGGGACAGAAAGCCCCACACACGTGTATTGTGGGAACTGTAGGGCAGCATAGAGACTGGTTGTCTCCTCCGACACTATGACCTCCTGTAACTTTTTGGGAATTTCCTTCCAGGCCTTTCCCTATGTGTATCTGTATGTGTAACTGCTAAAAAGCATGGCTCCAACTGAACCACATTAATAGTTTTGTCTTCTGTTTTTTAGCAAGGGTGGATTTTTTTTTTTTTTTTGAGAAAGAGAGAGAGAGTGAGTGAGCGAGCAGAGCAGGGAGGTGCAGAGGGAGAGCATCTTCAGCAGGTTCCATGCCCAGTGAGGAGCCGGACACGGGGCTCAATCTCACGACCCTGAGATCATGATCTGACCCGAAATCAAGAGTTGGATGCTTAACTGACTGAGCTCCTGAGGCACACCAAGGGTGGATAGCTGAGTCCACCATCCCCAGGAGACCGAAGGTCACCCCTGCCTCTGCCTTGGGCCAGCCCAGGACTGAGCGTGTTTCCACTGCTCTTCCCTGCCCCCAACCCCGAGTGTGGGTCCCGCTGGCACCTTCCTTGCTGTAGACCTTCTCATCGTTCAGGTCCTCCTTGGGCAGCCAGGGTGTGTCTCGGTCACAGTTCACCAGCAGGATGGCCCCCTGGCCCTCGGGGCCCCAGGTCCAGGATGCCTGCGTCGCCAGGGAGAGGGGTCAGCGCCTTCTTGTCTACCTGCTGGCTGATTCCCAGCCCCACTGCAGATCCCCGCCCCAGGACACCAAAGAGACAGCCCCAGGATGAGAATGAAGAGCAGCCACCACGCATCGGGGCAGGGATGACTCGGCAGACGAGAATCCCACATCTGGTGGTGGTGGTGGTGGTGGGGGGTGGCGGTGGCAGAGGGAGACACAGGGCTCTGAAAATGGACCCTGCATTCGTGAACGTCCAGCCTGGTGAGGCTGTGCCTGGAGGGGGAGGAGGCAGGGAGACGGAGGGCGGCCAGGGAAATGGACAGGCCGACATTCTACGACAGGCTCTGAATTCCCGGGGGGATCAGGGGGAGAGGTCTGGACGGACGGACGCCCAGCTGTTTCCAGACATGCTGAGCGCTCCAAATGGGACCTGCAAGGCGATCCATTCTCTACGCTGCAGCCAGGGCCGTAAAAGAACAAGCTCCAACCAGATCATGTTATCACGTCCCTTTCCTGTGTTAAGCTCTGTCGGGGGCTCCCTGTTGACTTAGGATAAAGCCCCAATCCCTGACTGCGGGCTGCAAGGCTGGTAAGACGGGTGGCTCTCCGTCCATCCTCCCACCTGCCCAGGCTCGCTGGCCTCCCGGCTCTCAGGCCTGTGCCCTCCAGGTCCCTGCGCTTGCGGAGCTGGTCTGTCTCCCCTCACCCGGCCAACCCCAGTCCTCCTGTGGTCGTGGCCTCACCATCCCTTCTTCCCACCATCCCTTTCTGATTCTCTAGCCCTGAGCAGCTGCCCTGGGGTTACATTTAGGGCACCATACACGTGCTATTTGGGGGTGAACTTGGGACAATTGTGGAGAAAATATGAAACTTCACAGACCCAGACAGAGGGAGTCTGAGAAAGTTCAGGCCCACAGGGATTGCGTGACTTCACCAAGGCTGCAGAGCTCCTCAGGGGAGGTTGGGCTCCAGAGAGGCTTCCATGGTCAAGTCCATGTGGCATGGTCACGAACACAGACCCGGGGTCTCCTTGCAGCCGGCTGCCTCCAAAAGCTAGAGTCCCATGGAGGAACCGAGGAGAACGGACTCCCCAGCAGGTGCGAAATCCCCCATCCCTGGTACAGACAGTCTAGGGCTGGCTGCTAGGACCAGGCTTCCCTCTGGGCTGTATTCATTTAACTGTTTCAAGTATCCATCTACATGTAATTTAAAACAGGCTTTAGGTTGTTATTAGGAGAGTAGCATAGGCCCGTGGCAACAAGGTAAGGATACAGACGGGCAGAAAATGGAAAACAGAAACAGGATGTACGCAGAGCAAAACCAATGGAGCTTAAAAACTGGCTCGAGGTTGAAAGAACCCAGGAGAATGAGATGCAGAACACAATGCTATCCACACAAGTTAATCGTGCGCCAGCCACACGGTGTGTTTTGCAAGAATCATGACGACAGAAAGGAACACACGAAACCCATTAAAGTGGTCCTTTGTGGGGGAGCAAGATGGGACCGTGGAATGTAGGGTAAGAGAGAATAAATGAGTGAACACAGGAACAGATGAAGGAACGATGAATGAATGGATGGGCGGATCACACAAGAGAGGGGCTGTGTGTGCACCCTTAAAAATAACATCCCTGGAACTGAGAGCAACGCGAGCAAACTTCTGCTTCTCATTCAGTTTTACAGTTTTTAGAAAATGCAGAGTAATGAGAGCAAATGCTTTGACAGCACCTCCTCTGCGGCAGGACATTTATTATTTCCGACAGCTCTGTGAACTGCGTGTCCCATCCTGTGGATGGGGGAACAGAGTCCAGGAGGTGCTTTGCTGCCGTTGCTCTAAGGAGCTCAGCTCCTCTGTGGGCCCTGCCACCGGCATGCTGGGTGTGGGAGCCTGCACCGGGCCTCAGTCTCCCCATCTGTAAAAGGAGAGCTGTCTGTGCTTAATGGGAGGAAAAACAGCTGCGTGCAGCCTCCCTCCTGAGCCTCTCTGCCCCCCCCCCCAGGACTCCCCAGTCCAGGGCCATGTGCCCTGGTAGCTTGGTACCTTTTTGGGGTTGTTCTTCTCCACCACACCATCCCGGTCTGCATCCACATCCAGGGAGATCTCTGGGGAAAGACACACGGGTGAGTTGTTGAGCCTGCCAGACAAGGTGGGGCAGGGCCAGGGCCAGGGCCAGGGCCAGGGCCAAGAGGAACACCTGTGGGACTGGGTGCAGCTCCCACATTCCCTCGGTCCCTGGAAGGAGAGGGCCTTGTTGAGGGTCATCTTATCCAAACCCCTGACCCAATACCCCAGTGGCGGATGCAGAACGTAGGCAGATACTGTGCAGATGTCACAGCTGATAGACTTGAGAGGGGCTACCGGGTAGGCCGGGGGTCTCCCAACACTTCACTGTTCCGTGGGTGGTTCTGGGTGGTGGGTGGGATGAGCCTCACCAGACAGATCCAGGAGCCTTGGCTCAGAGAGGCCACGTCACGAGCCCCGTGGGAAGGGGGAGCAATAGTGGACCTGGGCCACGCTGGGCATTTGCCTGACCTGAAGCTCCTATTTTGAAAACTTTCGGAGGAATTCCTGACTCCTTTTCTCCGTCTGTCCAGGTGGTGTGCATGGGGGTGTGATCTCTTCCAGAACTCCCGCCTCCCACCAGTTCTGCTTCCAGAAGCTGGGTCTCCAACCCCTCTCCATCTAAGGGTGCCCGAGCAAGCCAGGGTGTCAGATGGAGGATCCAGGCTGGGGTCCCTGTTTATTCCTTCTCTTGGAGAAGAAGGGGTGTTTGGTATTCCCAGGCTTGTCCGGGAGGGGGGACGGGTTTCGTGGAAACTGCGGGACAGTGAAAGGAGCCCAAGATTTACTGTTACTGCTGGTTTTCTGCTTACAAGCTGTGGGACCTTGGGCAGGTTAGACAGCCTCTCTGAGCCCCAGCTGTCCACCTGCGCAATGGGGCCCTTCCTAGCTAGAGGAGGTGCACTCATTGCAACGGGAGGTGCGATTGACGTTCCAAGCTGGACCCTTTGTTGCGGCGGCTCTCCTGTGGTGTTTAACAGCATCCCTGGCCTCTACCTGCCAGATGCCAGTAACATCCCCCAATTGTGACAACCAAAATGTCTCCAGATGTTGCCAAATGTCCCCTGGGAGGCCAAATGGCCCCCAGAGTTAGAGACTAACAGGGCTGGGCAGGAGAGCTGGCCCGAGGTGGCGGGAGTGTCCCACAATGGGGTGAGCTGAGCCCAGGTCCTGGGACTGCCCCGTGGGCTCGGCCTCACGCTGAGCATGACTTGGACGGAGGCGGGAACTGGGTGGGAGTGAATGCATTCCTGGTCTGTCCCCTTGGCAGGCGTGCTCAGTCCCCGGATCGGGCGGGGAGGAGGGTCCTGGCACAGAAAGGGTACTGATGTCACCCTTCCTGAGGCGGCTCACCCTGGGGATAATGCTCAAGTCCTCCTTTTGCTCAACAGCCTGATTCCCTGAATGTGGCTTTTCTGGGTCTAGAAGGAGGCAGGACAGGGGAAGCTCTCAGGGCTCTCGGTCCTTGGGAGAAGCAGCGCCCCGGGTGTCCCGGCCTCTGCAGCCCTGCTGTCAGTTGGATGCGGTAGGGCCTGATTTCGATAAGCGCCTCCCATTGATCCCGTGTGCATCACACAGCAGATCATCCACAGTTGGATCCACAGTGCATCACACTGTTGAGCATCCACTGCGTTCCAGGCACCATAGGAGGCATGGGGACCCATGGAGACCCAAGGGGACCCAGGGGGACCCAGGGGATGGCATTCGGGGTACACTGCGTGCCCTGGGGTCCCCAGTCTTATGAGATAAATATTATTGTTGCCACTGTACAGGTGAGCGAACCCAGACTCAGAGACATCACCTGTCAGCAAATTGGCCTGATAACCCGAGGCTGGTGCAGGGTAAGGATTCTCGGGACAAAGCGGGGAAGGGGGTACCACCAGCTGCTGTTAAGAGACTGAAGCCTCAGAAGGAGGAACAGTATTGATTTTGGCTTCTACACCTTCACGAACTTTCCAGCTTGGACACTCCCCAGTGAATGCTGCCTTTCAGGGAGGTTGGCTTCCCGAAGCTCCTCCCTGGGAACCAGCCCCAGATCTGGGTTCCCTAAGAAACCTCTTTCTTTGCTTTTCAAGATAACAATCTCTCCCCCTCGTGTGCAGTTCCCTTTGCCAGAGGCAGAGCACTTCCCGTTCCTATTCTCCTCTCAATCATACCAGCCAGGGAGGAGTCACCACCCACCCAGCCACCCTCGCCATACAGATGAGGAGACAGAGGCACCCCGCAGGGAAGTGACCACGGGGTCCCCAGGGAGTGCGGAGCCAGGCATCCCACTTGGGCCTCTGACTCCAGACCCCTGACCTTGGCCTGTTTCCTCCACTGACCCAGGCTCATCCCCACCTTGGGCTGTTTCTAATAAAACCAAGTCTGCCTCCAAAGACCCAAGACCTACTCCCCTTACGGCCGTTCCCGGAGGAGCTGACCACATCCCCACCTGGCAGCCCTGGGGCTTTTGTCTCCAGGTCAAAGTGGCACCACACCATGGCCGTGGTGGGTCTGTGAAAACAGTGCATCACAGGAGAGAAATTATGAGCACTTGATTGTGCTTCACCTCATGATAAATCCCTTCAATTTAAAAATTTTATCGCTGGAATATTTGCATGTAATGCAAAAAAAAAAATCAAATAGCACCAAACAGCTTCTAAAGAAAAATGCAGTTTCCTGTCCATCCCAGCCCCTCACCTGCCTGAGGCAACCTCCATAATATTAAGTAATACACTTAGGGCTCTTCCTTGATTTATTGACTTCAAACAAGTGTCACTGACTTCCTGTTATGACATTTAGGCATTACGTAATTGGGCTCTCTCATCACCCACCGCCCAACCTCCAGGGCTTCTCCCCTTCAAAATTTCCTCCAATGTTCACAATTTAACTAGATTTCAGTGGGATGATCCTTGTAGGGACAGAGAACAGGGCCGTCATGACCCACCCAGACCTCTGCCCTCTTGAGATAGCTCTGTCTTCCCTGCGGGGCAGGAGACAGGACAGCTGTTTCAGGGCATCTGGGCCCCAGACGACATTTTCCAGAGGCTCTGAATCCTACCTCGGCTCCCCAGAATAGCCCCAAGGTGTCAGGTGGCACCTGGGGTGTGGGGCAGATTTATGGGAAATGTCACTGGGATTGAGTTCAAGGTAGCCTGAGAATCTAGACACCAAGTCTTCAGGCTTGACCCAGGGGCAGAAGCATTTTGGCAGGCCACCGGCCCCCATGGACAGTGGCAGGGTGCCTGGCCTTCTTACGTAACCGGGCAGCTTGGGGTGTGGTGGGGAGGAAGGACTTTCTCCCCCACGGCCAACTGGGGCAATGATCCTAGGCCCTGGGGAGGGGGCCCAAGGAATGAGGTCTCAGGGCTCATGTCCTGCCCCTGTTGCCAGGACCACAGCAAAGAGGGTGAGACCATTCTTCCCTCTTCCATTTGTCCTCTCCCGCAGTCCCCTTAATAGGGAGGGCTTTGCGAATCAGCCCTACCTGGAGTCCTGAAGGCCATGAGGGACCAACGGGCTCAAAGCCCTCATTCTACTACTGGGCGAAAGTGAGGTCCCGAGGGCTGGGCTGCTTGGTAAGTCACACAGCACGTCCTTGGCGGGACTGGGAGCCAAGCCCTGGGGCCTGGTCTGGCCAAGGGCACCATGAGTTTGTTCCCAAATTCCACAAGGAAGACTGAGGGACAATGGGGTTCTTCAACTTTGCCCAGGCAGAGGGACAATGTGGCTCCCCAAAAGCAGAAAGGAGAAAAGAGCAAGTATTGACGGAGCATCTACTCCATGCCATGCACGCACCCTCCCATCGGATCCCTGGGAGCCCGGTGCACAAGGCTGCCTTGAGTCCCTCTGCGCAGAGGAGGGACCAGGGGCTCACGGTGGTGACAGTCACAATGTGGCCCAAGGGGCAGAGCCAGAACTTAGACTTATTTCTGTCTACTTCCCAGCCTGGGCTCTTTCTGCTCAGTGGGGGCTCAGGACAGAGCTAGGGTTCCGTGGACTCAGACACGTCCCCGGGTGGGGGCAGCCCTACCGTCCTGGGGCCTCGGGGGTGTTCTTGCCTCTGAGGTGCCTTCCCTGTGATGGGGGGGGGGATGAGGACCCGGGACGTGTGGGCTCAAGGCCCCTGGGGTCGATGCCTGAGGGAAGATAAGACCTGGAGGCCCACACAGACCAGGGGGCCCTTAGGGGAACCAAATTCCACCTATGTCTGTGATGCAAACGACTGTCTTTTATTCTGAAATTATTCCTCTGCCCACTTTTAGGTGTGAAAATGTTAGAATGGTGGTGATAGTTGTTGGCAAATTGTTTTATTCATATTTTTCCTTTTTAGCCAAGCACCAAATTTTTCAGGCTTATTGGGGGGGTGTGTGATGCACATTTTACCTGTCCATGGAACCTGAATATCTGGAAGAGTAGTTAGTGTCTTCTGGGGTCTCAGTCCTGCTGCCCCCTCTGAGCACAAGCCCCACAGTCCTTGAGAGGAGAGGGGGAGTCCAGTCCCGGCCTCCTCACCGGGTGCTGTCTGGCCATCTATCCTGTCTGCCTGGCTTTGGTGGAAGGCTCGCTAATGGTGGAGTCAGCTCTCTGGGACCCCCTCACTGAACAGGTCTCTGGCCGCTGCCCTTCTTGTTTATGTCCTCAGGTGTCCCTGTCTCTGTGGGATTGGGTTTCCTCAGGGCCGGTCATCTGAGACGACCCGGGGGCCGCGTGTGCATGGGAGGTGTACACACGTGCCAGCCTTCCACTGCGACTCGGGAGGCTTTGGTGCTCATCTCCTGGGGCCCCCTGAGGGTGTCCTGAGGTGGGTGCTCCCTTGGTGCAGAAAGACGGTCAGGGTAGCCAGCAAACAAGCCAACTGGGGAGGCAGCTGAGGAGTGGAGGAGCATTGCCCTTGAGCCTACTTTGGTGGCTAAAGGCTCATATTGGGAATTAGTGGTTTTCTGGGGGGAAGTTCTGAGACCCCCCCCCCCCGACCAGTCTATCCTTGGGATGGCTGGAAGAGTAGATTGAGATGGGGACAGTAAAGTATTGGTGCCTGGCACATTGTAGGTGCTCCAGAAAAGTTAGGTGTTTCTCCTCCTCCTGTCCTCCTGGTTTAAACATTATATAATTAAAAATATATATATATATATATAAAAGTAATATCTCCATTGTAGAAGAGTCCACACGCCAAGTGCCCTGGCACCCAGGCAGGCAGGGGAGTGCTATGCGGATGGAAAGACCCTGGGCAGGGAGTAATCCCAAGCTCTGGACTCAACCTGCCAGAGAGTTGCTGTGCAACCCTGGACAAGTTCCCAAACCTCTCTGGGCCTCCCTGTCCTCAATGCCAAATGAAAAACTTGGACTATGTAAGTTGAGGAGCTAGGCTAGATCTCTGTGTTCCCAGGGCAGGGTCTAGGGAGGGCAAGGGGGTAGCTGGGACTGTCAGGGACAGAGCAGACTTTATAGACAGGCCATTTCCCTCACTATGAGAGGCAGGCGCTTCTCCAGGCTGCAGGGGAGAGGCAGGGGAGGAGCAGACTTTGCTCTCTCTTCTCAGTGGCCCCCAGTACCTGGGGCAGGGATGCTGACATTGGGGTGAGGTGCCGGAGACCGGGGCATGCCTCCTCCTGCAGGACGCCCCTCAACCCAGTGCACAAGGGCTGGGCATGTGTGGCATCACTTCTCAGTCCTGCATTATTCAGAGGAAGCTCCGAGTGCCAGGCCTGCAGCACTGAGAACAGGCCAAGTGCTGCTGAGAAGGGCAGCAGTGCCAGCCCCTGGGGAGCAAGGCACCCAGGTCGCAGCCACACCAACTTACCAACGGCCGTGAGGAAGAGCCCAGCCTGGTCAATGGGCATACTCCCTTCCTCGTCGTAGTAGTTGACAGTGACCTTGGCAGGGAGGGGCGCATTGGGAGGGAGAGAAGAGTAGAGATCACAGATCATGGGCAGGAAGATCTGCAGTGACCACCCTCCCTGACTCATGCCTCCCAGCCTGTCCAGTCAGTTCTCCCCAAACCTCCAAACCCTTTCCTCCAGGAAGCATTCCTGGGTTGATGGGCTGCTTCTCCCAAATTATCCAACACATGGGGGGCTCCCCTCCTCTAGGGCATGCAGGGTCCTGACTTCTTACCTATGGCCCCTGGTGCATTCTGTTGCCTGGGGGGGGGGTCCCCGCCCCCCTCTAGTATCTGCCAGGATATATGACTCATTCCTGCTGAGCAACCAGGGGGCAGGGCTGAGGTTGTTTTCTTTGAATAATGGCCAGTGCCATCCCTGCCAGGGGGCGCTGGGTGACATTCATAATTAGAGAACCCGGTGAAGAGATGTCTCAGCTTCACACTAGCCCTGCTGCATGGGCACTCAGCACCCCACTTAATACAGGATGAGGCCAAGGACATTTGGGGCTGTAACTTCTGGTGACTCTAATATATCACTCAGCAGCCCTCAGCTTTAACCTTCCACGACGCCGTCATTCCACGGTCTGGCCCTGAGCTTCCAGGACAGGCGCCACCAGCCGCAGGTGGGACCTGAGCACAGAAACGTGGCAAATCTGACTCGAGATGCGCCCTAAGTGTGATACAGACTTGGGATGAGAAAGAACGTACGCTAGCTCATTAATTTTTTTTTTTATGTTGGCATCACGTTCAAAGAATAATATGGTGACATATCGAGTTAAGGAAAATACACGACTAAGGCAAAGCCCACCCGTTTCTTCCTGTTCTTTCAGTGTGGCCACGAGGAGCCTGGCACTGACACGTGTGGCTCACGCTCTGTTTGTACCGGACGGCGCTGCTCTAGCCTGGGCCCCGGTTCCCGCGGCCCCCGGAGGACTGCCCCGGCCAGGGTACCTTGTCACTGCTGGCCTCCGTGCTGGCCTGGCTCATGGTGACCCGCAGCGTGGTGCTGGGCGACAGAAGCCAGCGCTGTTTGCCGTTGGTGGCCACCTCCTCGGCCTCCCCATCGCGCACCACCTCCACCCGCACCCGCTCCGAGTGCTTCAGGCTGAAGGTCTGGGCCTCAGCTGGGGCCGCGCTGTAGGGAGACAGAGAGAGCAGGTCATGGGGTGGGGGACCCAAGGGCAGGTGGGATAAGGGGCTCCCAAAAAAGAGTCCTGGGGGGGCAGGGCTGCAGGGACCTCCCGGGTTGTCAGGTCTGGGGGACCCCCAAGGACCCAGCTACACCACAATCACCTGGTAGGGGGGAGGGTCTTGGTAACCGTAGAGATTTCTTGGGCCAGTCTTGCCCACTGAGTCAATGTTTGAGGGCAGGGCCTGGGATCTGAATTTTTTTTTTTAAGATTTTAATTATTTATTCATGAGAGACAGACAGAGAGGGAGGCAGAGACACTGGCAGAGGGAGAAGCAGGCTGTCCGTGGGGAGCCCGATCTGGGACTCGGTCCCGGGACCCCAGGATCACGGCCTGAGCCGAAGGCAGACGCTAAACTGCTGAGCCACCCAGGGATCCCCAGGGATCTGAATTCTTAACAGGCTCCCTCATGCTTCTGATGCCAGCCATGAAGGGCCCTAAGCATGTGGATATTGAGACCCTGACCAAGAAATGAATCTGCTTCCAAGGCAGCGCCCACCCCCGATCCAGAGTCAGCCAAAGGGCAGGAGGCAGGCATCAAAGTGCTGGCTTTGCCCAGCAAAGGAGCCTGGAGCTTGGGTCCTCAGGGGGCGAGGGTGGGCTGGCTCTGTCACAGGATCCCTCCGTCCTGCCACACTTTCTATCTCAGCTCGGAGCTCCCCCTCTGAGAGTCATTCCTTGGGGTTCTGGAGTGGTTTTCTATCCATTGGTGACACCTTTGGAATTCTCGAGAAGCCATTAAGATTTCAGGGCGGGGAATGGGCTGCTCTGCATGTGTGTGACTCCCAAATCCACATGCTGAAGCCCTGACCCCAGACCCAATTGCTTGTGCAGATAAGCCTTTCAGAAGGTCGAGTTAAATGAAGTCACGATCACGAGGTCCGATCTGATAAGATTGGTCGCCTTCTAAGAAGGGGAAGAGAGATGTTTCTCCCTCGCCCTGGCGAAGGCCAAGCAAGTGCAGGTGGGAGAGCGACCGACCGCCTGCGGGTCAGGAAGAGCTCCCACCCCAACCCGACCACGCGGGCCCCTGACCTCAGACTTCCAGGCTCCAGGACTGTGAGAAATACATCTCTTTGTTTAAGCCACCCAGCCCACGGTGTTTGCCACTGCCCAGGACATTGGTATAGGGGAGGTGACAGGAAGGACAGGGAGACTGGGGGAGGACGGTGCCCAGGGAGGACAGTTTTGCTAAATCCAGCCCCCCGGTCTGAAGATTTCCAGAGACTAAAGAGGGCTCAGAGGGATTTAGGGGGGGATTCTCATGGGATTTGGGACTAAGACATAGGTACAAATGTCTCAAAGACACATCTGCTCTTCCGAGGGCCTGGTGCTCCTGGGTCCCAGAATAGTTCTCCACTATGATTAGGCATCAGAATCGTGAGGGGGTGCAGTCTAAATCTCCAGGGCTTTCTTTTTTAAGGCCGGAGATTTGTGGATTCTTTCCCTAGAGAGTCTGGCCGGCAGGGTGGAGGTTCGGCCAGGGCAGCTGAAGATGTGAGCAGTGGCCAAGGGTCAGGTGAGAGGTTTACACCAGTGGTTCTCAAAGCTCAGGAGCATTACCTGGAAGGCTCGTCTCCCCGCAGATTGCCTGGCCCCCTCCTCAGAGTTTCAGATTCAGTAGGTCTGGAGTGGGGCCTGAGAATTTGTGTTTCTGCCGTTTTTAGGAACTGTTGGTGATGCTGGCCCAGGCCTATGCTTAGGGAACCACTGGTCTAGACATTCAGCAGTGCGGTCTGCTGGTTAGAGCCTGGGGGCGGCCAAGGCCGTGGGTGGGAGTCAGGCAGGGTCTCTCTGGCCCAGGCCACAGGCTGCAGGGGCTGCTGGCAAAGCTCACTGGTCTGGGACACTGCAGAGAGAACGGGCAGGGGTCTGACAGTCCACACCCGGGGCTGGGAGAGGAGCTTGAAAAAGAAGCTCCAGGGCCACTCTGTTTCTCGTCCGTCTGTCCTCTTCTCAGTCCATCATGGGGCCACGGGGCTGGTCTGAGGCTGACACTTGTTGGCAGAGGTCGGCTGCCGTATGTCCATAACCATCTTTGGGAGAAGTGGGGCCTCAGCAAAACCTTAGATTGGGGATACTTTTCCATAAGATGTGGGTGTGAGCCCAATTTTGCCACCGAGCTGCTGAGGGAGACGGGAGTGTGCTCCTCGCACCTTCTCAGTGTCCCTCTGCCGACCTAGAAGACACCCACCCACCCACCTGCTGTCCTACAGGCTTCATCCCTCATCCCTCACGGGGCAAGGGCTGCATTTAGTCTTAGGGTGTTGCCATGGGGTACCTGCCCTCCTCTGGAGTGCAAGTCCCTAAGGCCAGGATCTGGCCCCTTCCATCTCTCCTCCTCCAGAGTCGAGCACGGGCTGGCCACATCACACCCCCCCCCAACAAAGAGGGCAGAGCTGAGCGGGATAGAGGTGAGCCTTTTAGAAGCGCCTGGCAGCAGTCCCCAGAGGGCACGCGCATAGAACGCTGTCAGGTGGCACGTAGATGCACAATCGAAAAGGAGATTTCTGTATTTATTAAATGCATTATCTTCTGTGGCAACTGGTAAAGAATCGCCACTTATGGTAATGATAAAAGATCTCCATTTATTTATTTTTGAAAGTAGGCTCCACACCCAACGTGGGGCTCGAACTCATGACCCTGAGATCAAGAGTCACATGGACTTCTGACTGAGCCAGCCAGACCCCCACCCCCATAAGATCTCCACTTAAAGTAATGAAATATGAGTCGATGTAAAGAAAGGTGTTAAGTTATTAGTGCTACAGGTGGAATACGACTTTCAGAAGAGTCACGAGTCTGAGCAATGGTGGGTGGGCTCGAGTCAGGGAAACAGGCCTCATTAGTGGAAGTCCCAGCGTTGACCATCAACTTGCTGGGTGGCCTCGGGCAAGCCACTTTCCCTCTGTTTCACCGAGTGTAAAATGGGGGCACAGCACCAGGTAGGGGTGGTGGCTGGTATCTGGGCAGCTCAGAGGGGGCAGGTCCCAGACACAGGGCTGAGGAGGGGGACATGGAGAAGCTGGGGATCTCTTGCCTGGGCCCCCCTCCACTTTCAGCAGCGCCTAACTGGGACTTCACCTGGTTTTACATATTGGGTTTCTGCATACAGTTCTAGTCAGAAAAAAATGCTCTAGAAGCTGGCAGGCAGGGCAGGATGAGTCTTAAGACTCGACTCTGACCGTAGCGGCTCTAAGTGATGCTTTCTGTCACCTGTGTTCCTCTCGGCAGCGAGAACCTGGAGGAGGCCCCAGAGGCTCCGGGGGTTAGTGTCTGGCCCACATGGGAGCTCCGGGGCCCCACACCCTCCTACTCCAGCTCCAGCCCTGCTCTGAGCCGAGCAAACAGCTCTCCTTGGGGCGGCTCTAGCAGAAGCAACAAAGGCACCATTGTCCCCTGTGGAGCCTGCCGGAGGCCTCCCTCCCCGGGAAGAACCTCTCAGGACTCATCCCCCAGAAACCAGAGAGCCAGGGGCGGGGGCACCTCGACTGTCCCTGGAGGCTGCAGGGAGGGGGTCCAGGATGGTATCGAGGGAGCCAGCGGGGACACAGGCAGGGGCCGTGACAGTGGCCATGGCTGCTGAAGATACTGTGCACAGGACAGGCTGCCGGTCCCTGGGACCACATGGTTCCCAGAGCCCAGGACAGGGCCACGTTCCATACAGACTTGGGGGAAATGAATGAATGATGGAACCCATCCTTCCTGGTTTCCCAAACCGTATTACTAGAAGGATCAAGAAAAATGAAACCCGATTGCTTGTCGGCTTGAAAACACTCAGTGGCTCCTGGTGCCAGCCGATACAGCTGGTGCCCGTCCGGTGACATTCAGCCACCAGGCCTCAGCTTCACCCTCCAGCCTCATCCCCCCCGACGCCGCTCCAGCTCACTGTACACTCTGCACAGGTGGTTCCCTCTGTCCTTTCCCCTGACTTCTCTGACGGGCAGCGACCAGCCCTCATAAAAGACCCAGCTCAATCTACTTGTCTCCATCCGTGTTTTTTTTCCCCTTGTGGCTGTTGGATCCCAGAAGGTGGGGGTTGCCTCTTTTTTCTCTTTCAGCCTCCGGCCCAGTCCAGGCCCAGGGCGAGTACAAGCATTGGCTGAAGAAGGAAGGGCGGGGAGAGCCGGGCTTGCTCATGTGGTCACTCACGCCCTCAACACCTATTGACGGAGCACTTACTATGTGCCAGGCCCAAGAGAACCGGCTCCCCGGGCCCACGGAGCACATGTTCTAGGGGAAGAGAGAGACGTTCAGGGGACTACACAGCGGATGATGATGCGGCTTTGGCTGTGAGAATGGCTCTACTATAGAAGCAGGGAGTGCCTTGACCTGGCCTGCAGGTCAAGGAGGGCTTCCTGGAGGAGGTGCCACTGGAGCTGAGGTCTAACCCTGGACTCTGAAGGACAGCAAGAATTAGCTATATCGGTGGATCTTAAATTTGGAGCGTGCATCAGCATTACCTTAAGGGCCTCGTAAAATACAGGTTGTGGGACCATCCTGTCTCTGACTCGCTGCTCTGGGGTGGAGCCTGAGAAACGTGGTTTACATTTCTTTTTCTCCCCTAGATTTGCAGAGGAACAATCGACAAATATAATTATTTATATTTAAAGTGTCCAGCATGATGACTTGCTATATATCCACATAAGGAATGAAACCGCGTTCCTTTCTTTTCTCGGTTTTGTGACTCATTTGATGGCAAATTAACAACGGTTACCTTCAAAAGTTATATGACCCCAAACGTGCTATCATTTCTCGAGGGTGATCAGATACCTGGAATCATAGACAACTTCCCACAGAAGAAGCTCGATAGAAGTCAGAGTTGGTGTATCACCAGCATTTATAAAACCCGGCCTAGGGAGGGAACGAGAACCGGCGATACACGCACGGTCTTAACATAGCGAACATTTAGCCTGTTAGAAACTGTGTTTCTAACAAGTTCCCAGGT